CAAAACTTTCTACCAAATAAGGATCTCTAGCAAGCTAAGAGTGCAGCTTTGGTCTGAGATTAATTTACAAATTGAGTCCAAACCCAAGTAAGTCACACAGATTCAAAGAATGGATCACTTAACAAATAAGGTATTTCCACACTAGAATATTTACTATTTAAAAGTTCTGATTAAGGCTTTTCACTTAATTGTCCCATTCAATAAACTGCTCTGACATGAAGTTTAGGAATGCCAAATTTAGCCACTGTGCAAGAAAATTTCAAATATGAACTATAAATAGTAATACATCTGGCTAAAATACATACTCCAAAAAAATTCTCACAGTTAAATTCCAAACAGTGAACCCACTATCTTCCCATGCTACTTAAAAATTAAAATGAAAATCAAATACATGTTTATTGTCAAGGGAGAGAAATGTTGGTTTAGATATTTAATCTGCATTTAAGTCCTCAGTTAAGAGTTAGAGTTTTGGTTTAACTTAAAAACATACTGAATGATCATTATGTCCATGGTAGATGCATCATATATAATCTTTATATTAAGTCTCTACTCGTAAAAGCTGTGCCTTCACAAAGTCAGATGAGCTGGCTGAGATTATTAATGTGGTAAGGGAATCCAAATTAGTTGTATTTAGATGTAATACTCTACTAAACAAGTTACCACTTCATATTATATCACCAGTTTCATTTTGCTGATTCTTTTCCTTTGAAGTCCTTGTATTAACAAGATTCTTAATGAAAATAATGTAATGTATGCAGTGTGATGGATAGATACAGTGAATGCCTAAATTTAAAAAAATTATTACAGTAAAATACACATTTCCTTAAATTCTCCTCAAAATACCCATACTTTGAAAACATCCCATTGTTCTTGCAACTTTCTGAAGCCATTGTGAAAGTATTCTTCTGGCTTCCTCAGTATCCTGTATGGATTTAAAATATTTATTTTACATGGTCAATTTGACTTTAGGGAAGAGACAGAAGCTGTACACCATGCCAGATCTGGTGAATAAGGTGAATGAGGACACACAGTAATTTTTTTTATAAGCCTGCCTTTCTATGAGATGGCACTCAGGAGTAACAGTCACTATATTTCTGATCATACCTTATAAAGACAATATTTAAGAGGACTTTCAGAACTGCTTCAGAAAGTGGCAAGAATGATGGGATGTGTTTGAAGCAAAAAGGAGTATTCTGAGGGAGATTAATGGTGATGTATCTTTCACTGTAATAAAATTCAAAAAATTTAAATATTTACTATATTTTGGTTAACCCATGTAATTTTACTTGTGATTTTATATTTTAATGCTGACTAGGATTTATAATATTCATCAAGAAAGTAGGATAACAAAATAGAAAAAAACTAAAAATACTCATTGGATTTAGAAAAATGAAGGTCAGGATTACTTTAATACTACTATCATGCCCACAGTAGAAGCAGAAGCCAGAATTAGTGTAGGTTGAAAGGCTGACATGGGAAGTGAGAAAATGAGACTAAATATCCACTGGTTTTTCAAAACTGGTTCCAGAGAGGACAGTGAAGACAGAAGAAAAAGGAGACAAAGGGTGGGAATGACTCCTTGTTAAAATGAGAGATGAGTCCACAGCTTAGAAGTAACTGGAGTAAGTGTATTTTTACTGTATAATAAATATATTCATATTTTATATCAATTTTTCAATAATAAGGTTGAACTGGAACTACCTTAATTTATATAAAACTAAACACATATCTTCTATTTATGTTTCTTCAACAGGAGGTAAATGCAGAGTATGCTAAAGGAAACGCATAACAGAATTACAACTCTCTTTCCTCACTGTTTGAAGTAAGATAAACACGTGTAACTTTGCCAGTTATATGTACTTTATATACATTGACATAGTGATCTACTAGAAGATAGTACATGAATCATAAAACTGTTGTACAGGAGTATTAAATATTGTGTAACTATATACCCTGTGACCTTAGGCCTACAAGTAAAAAATATCTTGGTAGAACAAATACTTAATACATGCAGCTTCTTTGACTGAGAGATAAAAGTTAAAAGTTATGTACCCATTTACTTCTAAGTTAGAAGTGAGGTACTACAATAAAAAAGGCAGATGAATATCTGAAGTAAAATGTGGGAAATTGACAAGAAAGTTTCTGCTAGAGAGTGTTGTTTCATAATGAAATCACTAGCAGAAGGCTAACAATGAATTTCCAATAAACCTGTTAATTGATTTTTTAAAACGTAACTCTGACCTGTGCAAAAAGCTCAAGTTAAAAATTTAAAATTCTGCAAAAGCAATCATGGGAAACAAAGGAAAGGCAGGAGGCATCACAATTCCTGACTTGAAATTATACTACAAAGCTACTTGTGATAAAATTAGCATGGTACTGGTAAAAACACAGACCTGAAGATCAGTGGAACAGATTAGAAGATGCAGATACAGCTACAAACATGCTCAGCCACCTTATCTTTGACAAAGGGGCCAAACATGTTCACTGGAAGAAAGGTAGCCTCTTCTATAAATGGTGCTGGAAAAACTGGCTTTCCACATGCTGAAGACTAAAACTAGACCCATGTCTTTCACCATGCACTAAATTAAAATAAAAATGGATCAAATATCTAAATATTAAAACAGAAACACTAAATCTATTGGAAGACAAAGTAGTTAAAAATCTTGAAGATATAGGGATAGGCAGAGAGTTCATGAACAAAAACCAAACTGCATGGGAAGTACTTCAAAGAATCAACAACGGAATCTCATCTTATTCAAAAGTTTTTTGCACATCAAAAGAAATCACCAATAGAGTAAAAAGAAAACCCATGAATTGGGAACAAATTTTAGTCAACTGTCCCTCAGACAAAGGACTTCTATCTAGAACATACAAAGAATTAAAAAAAAATCAGGCCCCCAAAATTCAAAGATCTAATCCAAAAATGGGCATCTGAGATGAATACACACTTCTCACATGAAGAAATACTAATGGTGAATAAATATATGAAAAGAAGTTCAACATCATTAGTCAGGTGAGAACGGCAAATTTAAAAAACCCTGAGATTCCATCTCACCCCAGAAAGAATGACTATCATCAAGAAATCAACCAATAACAAATGCTGGACAGGCTGTGGGGAAAAAGGAACCCTATTCCACTGTTGGTGGGCATGTAGACTGATGGAACCACTGTGGAAGTCAGTTTGGAGATTCCTCACAAAATTAGGATTAGAAGTCCCATTTAACCCAGCTATTCCCCTTCTGGGTATTTTTCCAGAAGAATTAAAAACATCATATCACAGTGACATACGTGCACCCATGTTTATAACAGCACAACTTGTTATAGCTAAATCTTGGAAACAATCCAAATGCCCATCAGCTGAGAAATGGATAAAAAAGGTGGTATTTTTATACAGTGCAGTATTACTCAGCTATAAAAAAAGATAAACGAGGCTTTTGTCTGTAAATGGACACAACTAGAGATCATACTCATAAGTGAAATAAATTGGACCCACATGTGTAAACATCATATTGTCTCCCTGGTGTAGGAACCTGAAAAAGTAAGTAAAACTCAAAACGTACAATAGATGATATGAAAGGGAAAGAAACTGCTCAAAGGAAGGAACAACTGGGATGAGGGACAGAAAAAAGGAAGGCAAAATATATATATACACACACACACATACACACATAGAAGAATAGCGGGGATAACTGTACTGTTAATGTCTGAAGGAACAGTTAATGCTTAAAATTTTTTATGTGCTGACCAATTTTGCATGCTTGTATCTGGTAATCTGAGCAACTGATTTGAAGACAACAGTACGCAATGGAACAACCATAGTGAATTCCTACCATCTTGTAAAACTCTGTATTATCTCTAATGTTTTATCTAATAATTATTTTTTTATTCTCTTTAATGGTTTGAACAATCATCCATTCTTACATCTGGTAATCTGAGTAACGTAGCTGAAGATAATAACATATAATATAACAACCACTGTTAATTCCTATCATTTTGTTTTGAAACCCTGTATCACCACTTCTGTGCTTGCCTTGTTTTGTTTATGTTTGTGATGTTGGTATGCTGCTATTGGTTTTTTTTTTTTAACTACTCTCTTTAAAATAAAAAAATAATTAAAAAAATTTAAAATTCTGTGTAGGCTTTAATCAGGAAACTTTTAAAAAGGTGAGCCAAAATTCAGTATAAAGAAGGTAGCAGGTAAGTTGTATATAACAGTATATGCTGTTACATAATCTTCAAAATAATTCAGTATCTGGCACATTCCTGGTATAAGACCTAAGTCCCAGAAGGAGACTACAGGGCAGCACAGTTCCGACAGAAAAGTCTGTAGGGTCAGCAAGTTCCTAGCCCAACACTTAGATCCACCCCACCATCATATCCTCCCATGATGGGTACTTTAAAAATCTCCAAGTCATGAATAACTAAGATTTTTATATTTTTCATAATTTCAAAGAAATGAGTCTGTATGTGTAAGAAAAATTATCATATAACTGAAGTACTCAGCAAAATTTGATTTATTAAAAAAATCTAGCCAGGTGTGGTAGTACATGTCCATACTGTAATCCTAGCACCCAGGAGGCTGAGGCAGGAGGACTGTTGCAAGTCTGGAGAGCCTGGACACATAGTGAGACCCTGCCTCAAAAGACACACATACACACACACGTGCTCATACACACACACATGCACACACACACACAATTTAATGGACAAACTGCATATCTGATGGATGATACAATTTCTCTGAAAAACAAGTGATTCCAAGATGACATGTGTATCAGACTTAAACTGAGTATGTTATAGAACCTTTTTTAAAGGAAGGAGCTTAATATTAAAAGTTGGAAGCCTATTAATGTTTAAAAGGAAATTTAGTGTCCTAGCATTCTCTAAACCTTATCAAGATACAAAATTCTTTTATCACTGAATACACAGTAAAAGTTAGGTTTACAATGTCTTTTCCACCCAAAGAGAAGTATATTATACTTATGTAAAAGAATACTTACCGCAATAATATCTAGTGTATTATCACAGACTTTTCGGATTTCATTATTTTTATCATGCATCAGATCTATGAGATATGCTGGAGCTTCTGAACACAAGTAGTTAAAGATAAAAACCGCATTTGAGATTGTAACTCTTCAATCATATTAGAAAATTCTACATTTCTTTAAATGATAAATTGAAATTTAACTTAAAATGTAAAATAAAATCATTAGTATAAAATGACGAGAGAAATTTAGTATTTCACTTGTTAAAATGATAAAGATAGTGGGGAAGTAAGAGAAAAGTCTAAACATTGGAAATGGTTAAAAAACAAAATGAGCAAATCTCAGAAAGTAGTATAAATATACAGTTTTGAAAATATGAAGAAAACTGAAGAGGGAGCTCTAGAACTGTATAATTATAAACACTTGGTCTATCACCAAAGTCCAGGGAAACATCATTCAGACAAAAAAGAACAACAGAAAAGAATCAGTCAAAGTCCCATGGTTGGTACAAGGAAAAACAAAACAGAACAAAACCTTATAATTAGATATTTTCACATAAGATGAAACCTAGCATTTTAAAAGAGAGAAAAGAAGTGAAGAGGCATATACAGTGATGGTGAACCTTTCAGAGCTTTCACTGATAACAAATAGCCTGCTGTGGCAAGTGTGCCACAGGTTCGCGACCACTGTCATAGAATATGTATGAATGAATTACATACATCAAGAAACTGAGAGAAGTAAAATAATTCAGGAAAGAACCAAAAAAAGGAACAACCAAAAAAAGAAGTAAAAACAACTGCAGATGTTAAATGGGGAACATCTCACAGAAAAATAGGTTAAGGTCAGTTATTCAAAATTCTGTGGATTGAGTAAATAATTTAGACTATTCATACAGGTAATGAAAGATTTTTATACAGTACAGGTAAAAGTAGATTTTTAAAAATATATACAAGAAATCAATTAAAAACAAATACCAGATCAGCTAAATACTACCACTTCTACTACTATGTACCCATGTCTTTAGGAAATTGATTACACTGGATTATAGTCTTATATTTCTTATTTACTTGCCTATCTCTTCAATTAGACTTGTTTTGATGACAAAGACTTGACTATTATGTGTGTGTGTGTATATATATATATATATATATATATATATATATATATATATGTCAGTAACTGTCAATGAAATGGTCAAAACCTCATAAATGGGTGCGGAATAAATGATTACTTATATGTAGTAAGAAACAACAGATACTAAAATCTCAGCTTCAGAGACTGTGTGGATGATACTGTTATTATCCACAATGAAAACAAGCTAGAACCATTATGTTTCTCAAGGGATGATACTGACTACAATGCCCTTCGGATGTAGTAATGTAGTATAGTACAGTACCACTTACAGACTTCTTTTGGGTGTTTGTAACAGTAGGCACTTTAAATCCATTAGCATTTTAATAAGCCTAGAAAGTAGGTCTTATTTAGTATTATATTCATTTTATAGCTATAAGAGTGGTGTGAAGGAGGTTACACAGCTTTTTTTGAGGTCCTTGCAGGTAAATGGCAAAAGGAACTTAAGATTAGGGTCATCTGAGTTTGAGGATACAGCTCAGTGGGAGAGCACTTGCCTAACATGCAACACCCTCAAAAGAAAAAAATTAGGACTCTTTAATTATAATGCACTTAGTTTATACTGTGCTACACTCCTTGAGGTGGAAGGCGTTTAGGGAGCTGTTAGCAACAGATGTCTGATATCTGGCAGGTATTAAATACTTAAATACAGTTGGTAGCTGAAGTCATGAGAACAGATGTGCTTTATCCAATGTGTAATCAATAAGATTAGATAAGGACCAAAGACAGCCCTCAAAACCTCTGACATTTATGTTAAAAGAAGGAAATTTTGATATACTTAAGTTTCTTAGAACTCGAAATCTGTCATTAAAAAATTATTATAGTCTACTTCTTCAAAGATTGAGTACTTCCATCTCAAAAGTTTCAGATTTCTTTTTGACAGTGGAATATTTGCTTACACATAATAGGCTATACTGGGGATGGGACCCAAGTCTAAATGTGATATTCACTTACATGTAATATATGCCTGATATTCATAGCATGGAGGGAATTTTATTCAGTATTTTCAGTGCACCTATGTCTCGAACATGACTTGTTATATGAAGTAGAATTTTCCATCATGGCATCATGTTGGTATCTAGAAGCTATTAGCTTTTGGAGCATTTTTGATTTCAGATTTTTGGGTTAGGGATATTCATCCTACCCTGATTTAGGGTAAGCAGCTTCCCTGGAAAATAGCTAGTCTTATAAATTTATTTCAAAGTGTAGTGTTTTCTATAGTACTTGAAAATCTGTAAGAAAAGCCAAAGACGCTTATTTTCTGATTATGTAAAATACAATTATCTATTGTGAACAGTGAAAAGATACGCGTTTCCTTGATTATGACATCTCTCGTGGCTTGGTGGAAAACCATCTGGTAGAAGACATAAATTATCTGACACACAAATTCATCATCTTCTTGTTGAGCTGAAAGAAAACAAAATGTTTATATGAAAGAATAACATATATATACCAAATGAAAAAACAGAGAATGAGAAAAATGAAAAGTAACAAAGAGATAGGATAACTATTTTAAATTATAATAAATAAGTAACACATCATCTATTTCTAGATGCTTCTCCTAAATTACATGGCAATGACCCATGAAGAAATTTTATCTTTTTTTTCTTTTTTGGGTACCAGGAATCAAACTCATGACCTCAGTTTGCCAGGCAAACACTTATGCCACTGAGCTATATCCCCAGCCCAAAATTTTATAATGTATTTTCTGAGTTTGAGGATACAGCTCAGTGGGAGAGCACTGAGAAAATTTGATTTGAGCTAAATTAGATTTAATTTAATTAGATTTAATTTTGGAAAACAAAAAAAATGCAGATTTTGGAAAACGGAAGTTCAATCATCTTTGAGATTAAACTAGGGTACTTGAGATAATTCCTCTCAGAAGATCAGGTCATACCTAAAAGAAACAGGTAGACGAGACAGGTAGATGAAACAGGTAGACGAGACAGGTTTAAGAGAGAATCTGTGACCTTCATTATTTTTTGTGAATATATATAAAAATTGATTGAATGAAATTCTATGTTCCTAATGTGAAATGAATGGCAACACTTACTGCCACTTGTTAAAGTCCCTCTGTTCTCTCTTGCACGCTGGCCCACTCTCATGATGTAGGATGTGCTCCTTTTCTACTTTTACTTAAACTCACTCTGCAGTGTTTCTTGTCCTACTTTAATAAAACTTTGCTATCTTTAAAAAGAAAAAAAAAAAAAAAGGCTGACACCTTCTAAATTCTAAGATGTTGGTAGAAATTGGACTATTATAAAAAAGGATTTCCTTTTGTGGACTAATGTTCAGAAAATTAAATTTTACATACTATCATGAAATAAGTATTTAGTCTCACTCTATAATGTAAAAACAATGTTATATAATTATAAAGGCTAATTATTAGGAGTTTAATATTATATAAAGAATAATTTAACAGAACAGCTGATGTCTACTGACTAACATGTAAGGGTTAAAGCATAATTACTTACAGATATTTAACTTTAGGTCTGTGCTATAAAACTTGATTTACTGAAAATGTAGTTTGCCTCAAATTCTAGGCAAAAGTGCAATGATATGTTAGAAACAGACCTTCTGGTCAATATAGTAACCAAATAGGTATGTGGCATAAACTATGGGCTCCTTAAAGTTCAGTCTGTCCCCAGTGATCTCTCTTACTAACTTCCTAAAACCAGCTGGGCTAAAAATCTTACTATTACTCTCTTATATTCAGAGCTCCCTCATTCACATAACTCTAATTATTTTTCAGTATTAAAACATCCATGTATTTCTTAAAAGCAGTATTATACTGCCTCTGCATGTGGTCATCTCACATGAACATTAAAACATTTTACCAAATATTCTGGCTGTTAGCTCACTTCACAAATAGCTCTCTCAATTAAATCATGGTGGGTCAGCAATTCTGAGATCCATGTTATTTTGGTTCAACTTTCTCCAACTCTTCATGAAATATTCATTCTTATTCTGTCAACTACATTTTATTCAACTTTAACTTCCCAACTACCTAATGCTTCTTTCAATTATTTCTAATAGTATAAACAGAAATAGCCATAAAAATGAAGAAACTTCTATATATCACATACTGTAGGTTAACTTCATAAATATAATGTAGGACAACATAAGCCAGATTCTGTTCCACTGGCATAAAGTTTAAACCCAAACAAGACTAATATGTCAGTGATAAAAAGAGAGAAACCACTTTGGAGGAGATAGTAATGACTGGATGGAGGGCAGATGTACTTCTAAGATATTGGTAACATTTTATTTCCCTATGTATCTAATGTAACATGGGTGTGCTCACTTTGAAAATTCATTGAAGTCTCTATAATTTTTGTATTTTTTATGTTATACGTTAAAAAATCTACTAAAATTAATATAAAATGCATATATATTATGTCATATAGAAAAGACTGGGGGGCTGGGGATTTAGCTCAGCAGCAAAGCGCCTGCCTGGCAAGTGCAAGGTCGTGAGTTTGGTTCCCGGTACCGGAGAAAAACCAAAAAAAAAAAAAAAAAAAAAAAAAAAAAAAAAAGAAAAGACTGACAGGAAGAACTCTGTATATTCTTAGGTGTCTCATATTAGCATTTAAAATTTTCATATTAGCTATTTTTAATGACTAAGATGCTGGAGAATTTGACACTAATCAAATATTTGATTCAGATAAATTTTGTATGCAGTAGAGAGTACAGTGAGCCCCAGCCTCTAGGAGTGATACAATCGTAATGGGAAGACTCCAGTCCTGCACTGTCCAATACCATAGCCATAAGCCACTCTAGCTAATTTAAATTAAATTAAAAATTCAAGTTCTCAGTCTGGCAGCCACATGTTCAAAAGCTACATGTGTTGGTCAGCACAAGTGCAGAACATTTTCATCACTGCAGGAAGTTCAGAGGATAGTCTCTCTGGATGTAGAAGGGAATATATTTAGAATCAGCTTCCAAATGAACTTTCCTATTAGAATAAAAGTATAAAAGTAAGGTTTGTGCAAGAGAAGAAATCCAAGTCAAGCCAACACAAAGCTGGATGGAAAGAAGAAAGGATAGAACATTAATTATTTAAGGTTGGGAAGAGGAGGGTAGTATTTGTAAACTGATGCCAAATTGCTCCATAGCAACATTTTTAACTTTTTAAATTTTTTTTTATTTTCTTCCGGTACTGGGAATCAAACTCATGACCTTATGCTTGCTAGGCAGGTGCTGTGCCACTGAGCTAAATCCCCAGCCCCTAACATTTTTAACTTTGAAACCTAAAGCTCTTTGATATTATTCTATTTAATCTCCATTAGCAGTATATTTAATTCATTTTTCTTAACTGCAGTTAAGTTGCTGCGATTATTGTAACAAGTTAAATACTATTTCATGTTGCAAACTCTTCCTTTTATATTTGAAAATTTTAATAATTTATTCAGACATTAGCATGAAAATAAATTATGATCATTACCATTTAGCAATTCAATAAGGGCAGGAATTATTCCAGATTTAGCTAGCAATGCTGCACAAGAATCATCCATAGATACAGTTCCAATCATTATAACCACTTCTAAAACAAGGTCATCTTCAGCAGCACCTAGGAAAGTCAAGCCGCAGAAAAATTTCATTGAAATGTTCTGATCCAAATCCATTTATATTATCAAAACTCCAGTACACAGCAAAGATATTGAAAGCTATTACATCGGTTTCAATGAACTTATCATATACTTATAAATTTATCCTTTTCCCCAACCTTTCTGTTTGCTGATGATAGTTTGTGGTGGTGGGGCGACAGAAAGGTGGAAATATAACTTTGAAAATACAACTGAATGATAATGTATACAGAAAATAAAAGACATTTAAATGTTTCAAAAAACTTAATGTGTGTGTGAATATGTATAGGGGGAGGGTATTTGGTAATTTGAAAAAAAAAAACGGAATTAAAAGGATTATAAAACAGCAAAGGTATGAATGGGAAGGGAAACTACTATTAAGGAAACATATGGTTAGTAAAGAGAAGGGAACACACATCTAAGAGTGTACCTAGTGATGACCCTTCTGGGAGAACAGAGCTGTGGGAAGAATATGCTTTGCCTGGTTTAACAGTAGTCACAAAACATTGCTCTGGTAGCCTTACTCACAACAGAAAAGAATAGCTTAGTGATTATGCAGAAGTACGATGCTTAGCAGACCTGGTTTTAGTTTATCCTTGAGGTATGGAACCAACTTGTACTCTTTAAGAACCAGTTCCCAGTCTAAGTCTGGAATGGTCAAATTTGCCAGAGTTCCCAAACATTCGATCACAAATTCTTCCTCTTCATCATTAGAGATTTGGGCTGCAAGGTCCCCAACATAATCCTGATAAAACACAATTTTAGTACAAAGTTAAAATATTATTTATAAGAAGAACCAACCTAGTAATGTGATAGGAAGAAAAATAAATATCAATCATGATTCTCTTGCAATATAAATCTTGTACTAAGTTGCTGAGGAAGCCAGTGGTGAGCTGGTTTAAGGCAAGACTGCAGTGGGCATGGAGGGGTTAGAGACAGAGATCACAAAATAAAAACATCATCATCAAAAAGTAGACTGGGATTTCTAAGAGCTAACCTTACAAAGAAGTTTCTAATGCAAGTGCCAATTTGGGATATAAATAAGTATTTGATGAGATCTTACTAAGAGTAATATACCCATTTATAATACCAATTCACAGTCCATTTTAATAGACAGCCAGCCAAAAACAATACTTACAATAAACAGATTTTTGGTTGGTCCATCATGCTGGGAAATATTTCTAATCATTTTCATGAGCAAAGGATCCTTGAGCTTCAGAGCCCTTTTCATGAGCATCTTCAGCCCATTTCCTAGAAGACAAAATAGAACATTTCCCCATTAAAACTAAGGTTACCTCAAGTTTCATGGTTTTATGAGTCATTATAAAACATTTATGCCTATTACAACGCACAACCTCACATGTACAATTTGATTAACTTAGATGCATATATCTGCACAACCCACACTACATATCAACAGAGCATCCCCATTCATTCTAGAAAGTTCCCTCCAGTCAATCGTATTCCTCAGATAAAATCATTTTTCTTTTTATTGTTTTCCTATTGTTTCCTCTTTTCAAATACAGATTAGTTCTATGTGAACGAGATCTTCATATTAATAGACTCAAACACCTTGTGCCTTTTTATGTCTGAATTATGCACCACAAATTTTTAAAAACACTTTTAAAACAGAAAAATTGGATTTCTAGGAATTTTTTCTGAGAATATATAACTAGAGATGCATAAAGATGCAAAGAAAGCATAATTAGAGCAGCACTGTTTGAAACAAAAAAGAAATAGGTAACAAACTCATTAATCTTCTGTGTCTGATTGTATTTCACTTAGCATATGGTCTCATGATGCATCCACTGTTTTACAAATGACTCAAATTTATCTTTCTTTATGGCTGAGTGGTACTCCAATGTGTGTATATATGACATTTTCTTTACTCATTCTGCTTTTGGGCATGTGTTTTGCTTTTGAGATTTAGCTATTATAAGTTGTGCAGCTATAAACATGGGTATGCATGTATCACTGTAATAGTCTCCATAATACGTCTCTTTAGGTGTTTATTTCTAATGCATGTTTGCCCTATATACTGAATAAATTCATCTTAGGAAGTTGCTACATGTACATACCGCATCTCTACCCATCTTTATTTCCAAGTCCCTTCTCCTTTTCTTCCATTCCTAGATCCTGTTTCCATCTGCAAAAGGTCTACCTCCATTTCTTATCATCTAATTTTTATATTGCTCTTTATTTATCCTTTGGGATTTCTCATGTAAGATAAACCATGTAATACTTAACTTTCTGTGTCTGACACATTTTGCTTAGCGTTATGGTCTCAAGGTGTATCCCTAAAATAACTGTGATTTTAACTCTTTCAGGACAGTATCCAGAAGAGATATAGCTGGGTCAAATGGAATTTCTATCCCTAGCTCTTTTAGGAATCTCCCTACTGATTGCTATAGTAGTTGTATTAGTTTACATCCTCACCAACAGCGTAGACGGGTTCCTTTCCCCTGCAGCCTCACCAGTGATTGCTGTTTTTTGAGTTCTTGATGATAACCATTCTTTCTGGAATAAGATGGAATCTCAGTGTTGCTTTGATTCACATTTTTCTAATGCCAAAGATGCTGAACATTTTTTCATGTACTTATTGGTCATTTGTGCTCCTTCTTTTAAGAAGTATCTTTTTTAATTGCCCATATTTGATTGTTCTTTTATTTTGAGGATCTAAGGTTTGGAGTTCTTTATATAATCTAGGTATCAATGCTCTGTCCAAGGAGAAGCTAGAAATTTTTTTCTCCTATTCTGCAGACTGTCTCTTCATTCTGTTATTTGTTTCCTTTGCTGTGCAGGGCTTTTTCATTTAATATCTCATTTGTTGTCAGTTATTTTTTGTGCAACTGGGGTTCTGTTCAGAAAGTTCTTGCTTACATGCTTGTCTTTAAGTTTTACTTATTTTATCATTTAGCAGATTCAGTGTTTCTGTTTTCATATCTAGGTTATTGATCCCTTTTGATTTGATTTTAGTACAGAGTCCGAGATATGGGTCAAGATTCATTCTTCTGCATGTGGATAACCAGTTTTCTCAGCAGTATTTGTTAAAAATGCCATCTTTTCTTTAATGCATGTTTGGCCCCTTTGTCAAAGATCAGATGGTGAATGTGTCTGGAGTTATTTCTATAACCTCTAATCTGTCTGGTTAGCTTAATCTTTCCTTGGTTAGGTTAATTCTTAGGAATTTAATTTTTTTTTGACATTACCATTAATGAGATTATTTACCTGATGTCTTTCTCGGTGGATTCACTGTTGGCGTACAGGAACACTATTGGTTTTTGCGCATTGAGTTTTTTAATCCTGATACCTTGTTGCATTTGTTCCTTAATTCTAAAGGCTTCTGGTGGAGGTTTTTGAGCTCTATGTGTAAAGGACTATGTCTGGCCCCTCATGTCTGTTTTTGTGCCAAGACCATGCTATTTTGATCACTGTAAGTTAACTTGAAATATGGCATTGTAACACTTCATGCTTTGCTCTTGTTGCTCAGGATTGCTTTAGGTATTCTGGGTCTCTTTTGGTTCTATATAAATCTGCATGTTTTTGGTAGTATGGACATTTTGACAATTACTGGTTCTACATATCCAGGACAGCGGTCTTTCCATTTTGTGATGACCTCTTTATTTTTTCAGTGTATAACAGTTTCCATTATAGAGGTCTTTCATTTCCTTGGTTAGGTTAATTCTTAGGAATTTAATTTTTCTTTGACATTACCATTAATGAGATTATTCACCGGATGCCTTTCTTGGTGGATTCACTGTTGGTGTAGGAACACTATTGGTTTTTGCGCATTGAGTTTTTTAATCCTGATACCTTGCTGCATTTGTTCCTTAGTTCTAAAGGCTTCTGGTGGAGGTCCCTGAGCCCAGCATGTTAAAGATTATGTTATCTACAAACAAGGACAGCCTGACTTCTTCCTTTCCTACTCAAATCATATTCTTTCTCTTGCCTTACTGCTCTCACTAAAGGTTTAAGTACTACATTAAAGAGGAGTGGTGATGGTGGACATTCTTGTATTTTTCCTGATTTTAGACAAAACTGTTTCAGGTTTTCTCCATTTTGTATGATAGTGGGAGTAAATCTGTCAAAAACAGCTTTTAACAGTTTGAGGTAAGGTTCTATACCTGGAATATATGTTTTTGTAGTTTTTTATAAGCCCCTAGATTTTGGCAAAGTCTGATGTTATTTCACCTTTTTCATTTCTAAGTGTACCGGTAGAAGTTTTTTTTTCCTTCTTTTGGTAAATTTTGCTAGGAATTTATCAATCTTGTTCATCCTTTCAAAGAATCAACTACTTTTCATTGATCCTTTGTATTTTTTTTCTTCTCAGTTTTATCAATTTCCATTCTAATCTTTTTAATTTTTTTCCTGTTACTACTTTTGGATTTGAATTGCTCTTGATTTTCTAGGAGTGTGAGATAAATCCATAGATTATTTACTTGCGACATCTCTACTCTTTTAATATGTGTATTTACAGAGTTATTCCCTTCACTCTTTGAACCGTTACTGTGTCCTATAGGTTTTGGTATGCTGTACATATTTCCATGGCCATTTGATTCTATGAACTTTTTAGTTCTTCCTTGATTTCTTCTGTGTTCCACTGGTTATTCAATAATTTATCATTTAATCTGCATTATTTGCATAGTGTCTGTGGTTTCTTTTGGTGTTAATTTGCAGTTCCCTTCAGTAGATCTGGTAGAATACAGGGGATTAGTTCAGTTGTTTTGTATTTATTTAAGCATATTATCTATGGTCTATGATATGGTCTACATTGGAAAACTTCTGTGTGCTGCTGAGTAAAATGTGTATTTTATTGTTGGATGAAAACTTCAAGATATTAACTTTAAAAGAACATTTTGTAATATATAAAGAGAAAAATCACATTTTATTTTGACATATTTATTTCAGGATGATTAAAAGATTCAGTGTTTACCTCTTTGGTAATTTGTAATTTCTATAATGAACATGTGCTACTGGTTTTTTTTTTTGTTTTTTTCTGTTGTTGTTTTTTTCCAGTACTGGGAATTGAACTCATGACCTTGCGCTTGCCAGGCAGGCACTGTGCCCTTGAGCTAAATTCCCAGCTCCCCATGTACTACTTTTTAAAATAAATAAACTGAAAATTCTCTGAAACATCATAATGTATTACATTCTACCAAGATATAGAAACAATAACCTAATACACTTATATTTTATCATCTTTAATTGGAGATCACTGCTTCACAAATAAAAGCTTCATTTTATCTAGAAAATGTTTTAAAAATCAAAATTTAATCAATGATAACTTTGGTTTATAAAATGTTACTGAAGGGTGTTTCCACTTATGACATAAGAATATTCTATGTGACCTTTAAGAATGGTAACTATAGTGATTTAGGTACCCACTATAATTCTAGATAAATAGGATTTAGGTATCTACTATAATTCTGAGTTCTTTAGTACCTATTTTTCATTAAATTTCAATTATCATATGCTAATGAGGTAGCCTAGGAAGCTCAAAGGTACTAACCGTCACAGATCAGCTGTACATTCCTCTTATTAGCAGCAAGATTAATGCAGAGGGAAATGAGTTCCAAATCAATTCGTTCATCTGAACATTCAAAGAGCATCTTCATTAACTAGCAAAAAGCACAGGACAGATGTTACCAAAAAACAAATATCTTAAAATGTTTTATTTCAGATTGAACGTTGAAAATGATACAATGTAATCTACATTTCAACACAAAACTTAAAAGCTGTTCAATAACTGAATGAGTATTCAGGTTCTCTGAATACTACCAGATGCTCTGCATTAAATATAAACTTCCAGGTACAGTGGAGAATAGAAGAAAAGTATTACATAACATCTCTGCACCTAAGGAAATACTCGCAAGCTGAGCATTCCAAGTAAGGAAAGTAGCTTATGCAAAAGTCACAATACAGAAAGGAACACAACTGTTCTGAAGAACCAAAAGAGCATGGGTAGAGAATGAGAAATTGCTGAGAAATAAGAAGGCAAAGGCCAGATAAGTTGGGGTCTTCCAATGCTGTGTGTTAAGGAATAGGGGCTTCATTCTAAGGATAATTGGAAGCTATAAAAATGTTTCTAAGTAGGAAAGTGTCAGGATAAGACTTGTGTCTTCAAAAGATCTGGCTAGTGCAACAAACAGACTGAATCGTGGTTATAACATGGGAAACCGTCTAGGAGGCTACAGGAAAAGTCCAGGTGAGATGATGGCTGTCCATACTACGTGGGACAATGGGGATTAATGTAAAGGGATTGATCAGCGGTATGTTTAGTAGACAGAATCAAACTGGAATTTAATAACTGACTAGATGTTGGGGTTAAGGAAGAGGAAAATTTAAAAGACTCCATGGATCTTTGCACTGACCTATGATATGGATGGTGGAACTAACATATAACGAAAAGGGAAATTAAAATAGCAGAGGATTGGGGGTGTAGATTGGCGGTATGGCAAGACCGTGGATTCAATCTCTAGTACTGCCTCCCTGTTTCCCGCCCCCCCAAAAAGTAGGACAAAGCCTTAAAAGGAAGGTAGTATTTTCAGTTTCAGGTATGGTGAGTGTAAATTGCCTATGACAGTCTAGTGCAGAATACTCAGTTGGAAGCTATAAATGTAAGGCTGAGTTTAGAGGAGATATCTCAACTGGAGGTATAATGTCAGCAACTGTCTGTCATGTGCGATTGTTAACTGCTGTAAGCAGACTTCAGTAAATTGGGCATGAGTACAAAATGAGAAAATAATTCTATTTAATGATAAAAGAAAGGGAAGGAGGGTGTCAGAAGCAGCAGACAAAAAATTAAGGAAGAGGTAGGCTACCTACGCCAGTTAGCAGTAATCTAGATTTATCATAATGAGAGACCACCGTTATAATAAAAGAGAAATAAACAATCTTTATGCAATAATTTAGGAAAGTCAGTTTTCTATTATTGGAAAATCAACAAATTAACAGAGTACATATTACATAAAGATATTATGTAAATATATTTTTCTCTAAGTCCAAATTGCTAACAAATGGAAATCATTCCTAAGCTTTATAATCTCAAAATTTCCATGTTTTATTTCAGAGCTATACCTTTACAGAATGAATAAATCAGGCATACTGCCTTATGTATAGCCAGTGAATAATAAATATTATTTTAGAACCTATTCTATTGAGTCTTATTTTGATTGCTTTCTATGCTAGTTCCAAATAGCTTCTAAGTTTGATAAAGAATACAAGCTCAACCCACAAAATCAACAATATTGTCTATGTGCTAGCAATGAACAACAGGAAGCCCAAATTAAAATAAGTATCATTCCAATTGGTAAGTACAATTCTAATAAAATGCAGTAATGTATGTGCCGAAAATTATAAAATACTGTAGCAGCTGAATGCATGGCATGTGTCATGCCCTCTCCCAGAGGGCAGCACATTAACCACAAATGTTGCCAGTAAGAAATCTCTGGATAGAGAAACATTACTACTTAATAATGCTGTAAAATAAAAAGATTCTATGGCAAAAATAAAATAATCTTAATTTACTGTATATATATGTATTTTTTGGAAAATCTTATTTTACTTATATATTGTCAGCTAATAGCAAATAAAATTGTCAATTAAATTACAAATTAGAAAAAAATGTAGGTAATAATCTATTGTAATTAGTATGTTTTTCATACTACAATTCAAAACCTATTAAAGATCTCTTCTGAACTTTTACTAATACTGAGAAACCTTCTTATAATGAAAATCTCTTATATTAAAGCAATGGTTTAACAAAATATTTATTGCTAGCACTCGGGAGGCTGAGGCAGGAGGATGGTTCCAAGTTTGAGACCAGCCTGGGCTACAAAGTGAGCTTTTACTAATACTGAGAAACCTTCTTATAATGAAAATCTCTTATATTAAAGCAATGGTTTAACAAAATATTTATTGCTAGCACTCGGGAGACTGAGGCAGGAGGATGGTTCCAAGTTTGAGACCAGCCTGGGCTACAAAGTGAGCTCAAGGCCAGCCTCAACTGTCTCAAAAAGACAAAAAAAAAAAAAATTATTGCTAGAATAAATTATTTATAGCAAGTTAGCCTTTGTAGTATGACAACTGCCAGTAAAAACTGATTTTCTAAAACACTTCTATGATAAATCTCATATAGAAATAATCAGAAACTACACTTTAAAATACTATTACACAGTTTGAAAACCTACCCAACTCTCATCCTCAAAACTCTGAGAAATGAGGACTAAATATGAAAGGAATGTATCATAACATAGAATTAGCTTTTCAAAGAAAGAGATACACTTCAGTTTTGACTGAAGTATTCAAATTTAAAAATAAGTTCATTGCAACTCCAAGTCCAACAGTGAAACATTGCCTTTGATTACTACCCATGGTACTTCAAAAGTAAGTGAAACTGCCAACAACTAGGAAATATTAAAACTCGATTTGCTCTGTTTTAACCATGTCTGTTGTCATCTTTTACTAATTTCACAGGAAAACACTAAAAGGGCTTCAGCCTGGGCAGTGAAGATGCAATAGTGTTCAATCAGCCAAGTCCCATACTGGGTATCAGATACCAAAGACCCAGGACTGAAATCACGGTGTCTAGACTCTCTGGCACCTGCCTTCACTTATTTACCAGTGACCAGAGGCCAACCCCCACCGCTCTCAGCACTCACGCACACCTCCTCCACCCCCACTGCACTGCCCCAACATCTTTGAATGATTATGCCAGAACTCTGCATGCCTCAGGAATCTCTTCTGACTGCCTACTCCCTAACTCTCTTGTTTGAAGTGATGCTCTGGTTTCTGAACTTCAGCAGATAATGGCAAGCAAGAGCAAAGGGGGCTGTCAGAAAGGACGTTTACCAGCATTCAGCTAAAAAAAAAAAAAAAAAGCACAAAGATCAAAGAGGGGCCAAACAGGACAACTGTGTGGAAAGCATGTGGATCGCTGTGAAGACTGTTGCACACTGTTCTCGGGTAAAATATTAAATAACACCATGACATCACTACCTAACCATGTGCTTTGATTGGCTGTTCTATTGCCAATAAATACTTTTATAAGCATCTGGATGGCATTTGCACCTATTTAAACAAAACATACAGAGGTCTAAATAACAATGAACTGTTAATGTGTACTTTTAACTATTATTAGAATACAACCATTAACTCCTGGTTATCCCAAATATGCTTACCTGAAACAATCTACCCACTGAGACCATTAAGACATGTATTAAGCAAGACTCAACCTGGCCGCCAAATTTTGTGGAATAGTGACAAATGGGAGTAGAAAATTAGAGTACATTGCTAATTGGAAACAATAAAGTACAAAGAAAGGAAAGCAGTATAATTTTGGGAAATATTGCAAGGTCTGTCACCTATTCTTGATGTTAAACACTTTTTAACAATATAACTCTAATCTAACTATAGGTTTAGCTCATAAAACACACACTGTATAAGAAAGGAAGTATTTAAATAGACTAAGAATGGATTAAAAATGATGAGAAAGACTTGACATTTTACTATCTTAATTTTTAACAGTGACTTATAATTTATGAAGCCCATATATAATATCTGATGTAAATAAAGAATAACCATATTCTTACATTCTTTTTGATCATGTAAATATATGTTCATTACAACTGAGCCTTTGCTTTCCTACCTTCAAAGTCATTTAAGGCTTCTCTTTGAAATATTTATATACAATACCTGAAGATCGTTACTAAACAACTATTTTTAAAAATTTTATTTATTATTTTTAAACAGCTATTAATATGCATAATTCAAGGAGAATAAAATATTACATTAACTCTCAACCCAAACTTGATATGGCTTTCTTTAATAAGCAGGTTAATCACATGCTGTTACAAGTAAACTTCAGCCTCATTAGCAATTATTAACATTACCTCCGAAAGAAGTCATTTCACTTTATTGTTTTGTTTTCCATCATTCTCTTATTCTGCAATAAACTTGGCACTATGTAGCAAAAAAATCATGCCAACATTTTCCTAAATATTATGTCAAAACTGGGCACTGTGAAGTATAAATTATAGGGCTAGATGTCACTTTAGGTACAAATATCCTAGATTATTTGGTTTTCTCAACATACTGCTCCATACTAAACAGCTTTAGGATATTTAAAATATAATTTGGTACATAACCTCAGTATTCCAGTAAGAGCTGAAGTTAAAAATAAACTAAAAAACCTTGAGCCCTGAGTGAGCTTTGGAACATTTTGTTCATGAAATACAGATTATAAATGTTCTGAAAACTCCATTGCTGACATGTCTGATGTTACAAAACTGTCTGGCAAGACAATATGGAGGAACACTGTCATTGAAAATGTATAGGGAATATGTACATAGAAACTTCTAAATGGCAGTAAGAAAAAGGCTTATTTTATTCATTCATTAATGATAAGGTCTTATATGTTATATTTGAGATTATATATTCTAAAAGAGTAGACAACCAACAAATTCAAAACTCAATGTAGTAAATTTTCTATCCTTTCTTAGTTTGGATTTTTCTTTTATCTAATATTGTTCTTTAAAAATATAAATGTGATAAAACAATGAATCTGTGCAAGAATTTTATTCCTTTTTGGCTGCTTTCCAATTCATATCCTCTAGTCAATGAAGTTTGACACTAAATGAGATCGAAAAAGGAACACCCTTTGAAACGCCAAAGCAGAAACCCTTAGAACAGATGGAGTGAGACTGTAGTAAATCATCTGTAACCTCCTCTTGACATGGCTATTCTTTTATTGAGAACTTGTTTGACAAAGAGTTTGATTATACTTTGAATTGGCTATAGTCTGACACTTGCTATCTCTGTTAGACCTGCCTTGTTAGGTAAAGTGTGCTGTATATTCTTTGAAGGATGTCTATTCCTATATACAATCATAATCAATTTGTCCCTTGATATGAAAGGCTAAGAAATTATCTTTGAGAGCTCATCAGTTTTTTAACTTTATGTAAGTGAAGTGTTAAAATACAGGAATAGCAAATTCAATCTTAATACTATCCTACTAATTTGGAATCGAGGATGTCAATCTGAATTAGTAAAGAGAAATTATTATATATATCAATTGCTTTAGCATACATATAATATTCTTCATATTAGGATAGTAAGAAATTGCCTAGCAGGAATACTAAGAGGAATTATTTTAGTAAGTATGACTTGTTCATATTCTTTTATTTTTAAAAAGTATGTTTCTTTTTTTGTACATTATATATCTTGCAATTTTGCTTTTTCTATTTTAGGAAACTATATTAAAAAGCAGACTAATCAGGGTTCCAATCATCAGATATTCATATTAGTAGAGCTTGGTTTATTAATGACTAATGGCACAATGGTGATTCCATGAGTGTAAATATTCCTAAGAGTACAATCACAGAGACATGAAATCTCTAACCCTAAAACAGACTTTAAAAAAAGGCTTGTTCAAAACAAATAGAACTAACATGTGAAATATATTAAGCAAGAGAAGAAATGGTGGCGGATGCCTACAATCTCAGCTACTCAGGAGGCTGAGGCAGGGGGACTACAAGTTTAAGGTTTGCCTGGGCAACATATTAAGACACTGTCTCAAATAATATGGCTGGGGATGTAGTTCAGTGGTACAGTACACTCCGAGTAGCATAAGGTCCTGGGTTCAATCCCTAGTAAAGAAAAGAAAAAGAGGAGGAAGAAGAGGAAGAGGGGGAGGGAAGAGGGAAGGTGGGAAGGGGAGAAAAAAATCGTTCTTGAGAACCATACTGTTAAAACCAAATGCAGAGCACTTAAAACAGTCAACTATAAACAAAATTAAAAGGTGTGTAACAACTGGGAAATACTTGTAAACAATATTCATGAAAAATAAATACTGTTGGAGAAACAGTAATAACCACTATTGTTAAAAGTGAAAGACTGGCTAGATATATAAACTTATTCTTTCTTAGAACATAATTTGATCAAAATGTGTCAAAGACACAGTGTTCTTAAGGAAAATTTATAGATATGGATAAGCATTTGTTTATGTTTTTATGTGATAAACCAGAAAAAAGTCTAAACATATAATTCAACAATATTTAAATGATGGTCATGAAACAATACATATACATATTAAAAATAGTTTTTGAAGAGTATTCAACGAGAATATATGCATGATCTATTAATAAAGCAATATATGAAAATTATGTATAGCATACAATCCTAGTACATTATTATTATTATTATTATTATTATATATATATATTTTTTTGGTTTTTCTCCGGTACCAGGAACCGAACTCACGACCTTGCGCTTGCCAGGCAGGCGCTTTGCCGCTGAGATAAATCCCCAGCCCTATTTTTTAAGTCTATAGAAGAAAGTGTACCAAATCTTAAACAGTTATCTCTGGGTTTGGGATAACAGTTATTCTCATTTTCACATAATCCTGTACTTTATTTTAGTGAAGTGCTGATCATTGAACCCAGGAACTTGGCTCCAGTTCTGTATTTTCTAAATTTTCTATAACAAACTTATATTTGTGACAATAAGTTTTAAGGAAAATTAGATCTTACAAATCAGGAGAAGAGAGCAAAACAAAATATATATTTTAAGTGTTAAAACACTTAGACTTACTTGTGGTATACAGTCAGTGTATGCGAACATTGACTTAAAGCGATCATCCATGCTTATGTGGTAAAGCACACATATCGCTATTTGTTTGTAGTTTTCATTGCCTAAGAATAAAATAATGGATATAGTGAAGTACATACATACATGCTCGATACATACTCAAATTAATATGCTAAAACTGAAACTAATGAGTAAAAAACCTTGTATCTTAATGTGGAAAATATTTGGAGCTTCCTAATTTAAATCCAAAGCTCGGAGCATACTAACATTTTCTGGGATACATTTGCAGAAAAAATAGCCATGTCCTTAAAAATGTACCATTTTCAGTAGCTCAAAATAAAAGAGGGTGGGTCAGTGACCTCCTCATCCTTATTGTCTTACCAAAACGTCTGGTTAATAAAACCTCTTGACGGTAACCATGCATAAAAAACAGTAAACAAAAAAGTATATATGATTTCTATGGATTAAAACTGGGAACATTCAAAAGATTAAAGAAATAAAAACTATTTGTAACATAAAAATATTTATGACTATAAAATGCTAAACTAAGCATAGTCTAAGGAGTATCTCAGCATTTTTGAGGTTAGACTGTTCTGAGCTAGGGATGTAGCTCAGTGGTAGAGTATGTGCCTAGATATAAAGCAAGGATATAAGAGAGAAAGTCATATTTAAAATCTTAAAAGATGAATATTAATATCAATGGCTATAGAAGATATATTGTTTATACTAATTATTTGAAGTTGAGGGTTTTATTTAGAGGGAAAAATAATGCAAAAATTGTGAAATTCCTCCAATAATAGTAGACATTATTTGTTGAGATCAGAGCAATTATATTAGATTTTCATAAATCACATGTTTACAGTGTTGAAGGCATTCATTTATACTATTTCAAAACATCAGAGCATACTTACCATAGGAAAATGTATTTACACAGGTTTCTAAGATGTGAAGGTGAAAAATGAAAACAATTTAACTTTATTTCCTCAAGGAGACAAATATCTTAGGTTCTGGTCAAACAGTACTTGTATTTTTTTTCCGAAGCAAGTGAAATATTATAAAATCTTTTCAAATAGGATACTAAAGCAAACTCTAAAATTTTGAATATCAGTCTCTTCCCTCTCTGACAGAGCTTTTTTTTGTTTGTTTGTTTGTTCATCTATGGGTAAGCTCTAGTGCTACTTAATTTTTATAAAATATTTGAAAATATTTTCTCTATACAGTGGATTCACTGAAAAGTAGGATTTGAAGCCATGGAACTTACTTGATGGTAAAAGGAACAAAGAAAGAGAAATTAATAATCAATATAAAAGACTCTCCAATATCAAAGTAAATCATCAAACATTAAAATACAACGTGGGGCTAAGAATGAAACAGGATAGAATTCAAGCTCCAGGAGAGTCTGTCTGTTGCTAGTGTCAGTAAAAAGATTCTAAAAACCAATGTCTTTAGCTGGTGCATCACACATATAAAGTGAAAGGAAATAAAGATTTGCCATTAGGAAATATGTGCTCCCTTTAAAGAATAATAAGGCCAGTTTCTTTCTCTCTCTCTCTCTCTCTCTCTCTCTCTCTCTCTTTCTTCTCTCTCTCTCCATATATATAAATAAATAAATTCAGAATAGAAGGTATAAAGAAGAATCCTAATGTTATAGTAATTTATAATAAGTTGGTGAGTAATATGCAAAAGAAGTCCTCATACATAACAATACTTTATAGCAAAACTAAGTCTCTATTTACAAAAAAACGTGATGCTTCCTCTGCAGCCAGTCCTAATTCTGCACTTGCTGATGTTTTTGTTTTCTCTTTTTCTCTCCACATTCATGGTCAAAGGTAAACTCTCCTTGCAATTCTTCCTAACACTGTCACATTCTTCTCTATCTGTGATCCTCTATTAAAAATAAACAAGCAAAAAACTCCTCTAAATATGTCCCAAATTTCTCATACTCTTTTCCTAAAATGATCAGCTTAGCCAGAACTTTGCTGAAAACTAAAGGACGAATAGAAACAGAAACTCTTAAGGACTAAGGCTATAAGCAGAACAAACTTTCTAACACCAACGTTCTTTGAGAGAAAGGGAGAGAGACAGAGCTAAACAATGACATAACTCCTATTCCATGTTCAGTATTCATTTTCTCAATTTAGCCTTGACAACAACTGAAGAGGTAGGTAGTATTCTTTGACTTAGAAACTAGGCAATGATACTGACTGGGGTTGTAACTCTTTCAAAAAGAAATATCGATGTGAATCTGGGATTCATGCCTAGCACTGACTATAAAGCCCATGCACATACTTTTTAATGAGCCTTTCAGGAGACAGCAGAAAGAGGGAAATCAATAATGTCAAATAGCTGTGGGATACAGCTTAGTAGCACAGCACTGTCCTAGCATGCACGAGGCCCTAGAGTTCCACTCCAGGACTGCAAAAAACAAAACAAACAAAAGCAAAAACCAAATCAATGCCAGATAAATATGTTAGTATCATTATTCCTTAGGGAATAGTACCGAAGGCAGATGCTCCTAGAAGAGATGTCTTAGGATCTGTGACTTTTGAGAAAGAAAGTGCAAAGGTTGGAGAAGCAGTGAGATGAAATATAGACATGAAATCAGAGAATCTGTGTCTAGGTACAGGTGGTTCCAATGGAGGACCGATGTTCTTGGCAGGGGCAAAACTGCTCTGGAGGCAGAGATACTGGGTTAAATTTGTGGTTCTGCCACTCATTAGCTATCTGGTCTTGCAGACTATGTAGATTTTGTGCTTCAGTTTCTTCATCTATAAAAGTAGGATAATGTCGTTACCTATCTTGAAAGGTTGTTATGCAAGGATTAGGTGGCAGAATCCCAGTAAAGCACTTACCATAGTCTGATAGTATTAAATCAATTCAATAAATATAATTATTGTCATCAGTAGGTCAAAATAACATTTTTTATTTTACCAATAGAACAGTGTTACCATAAGTTCCTAATATATATGTAGTGATGTATTTTTCTATCCTCAAAACTATGCTTAGAAGTCAAGTAGGATTGAGAAGCAGCGAAGATTTCTCTGGGATGAGCTTTACAAAACTCAGAGGGATACTCTGAACCAGTGCTTGACATTTGCTTATAAAACCCTGCTATTCTGAAAGCATGGGCTTAGAAAGTCATCTTATACTAGAGGCTCCACTCAAGTGACCCTTATCTAATAAGAACACTCCAACATTCTCTCATTCTCATAAATTCCTTAATAAAAATTGAGAAAAGAAAATGAGCTACCCCCAAACCAGCTTCTACACATACATTACAAATTTCTCTTTCTGCTTTCATGCTTCGCTATTTTTAATGGAACTTGTTTTCACTCTTTAGAGTGGGCAATGATTATAGTGGGGATGGGCTACCAAGAGATGAAAGGACAGAAGTCTGAGACAAAACTCATAATTAGCTACCCTGCTTCCAACAACACAGAGGTATCCCTTCATGTTTGGTCTAAACACAGCTGGACCAAAGAAACAGGAATATAACCGGTGCTGCACCAGGCATATTTTTTTCCTTTGAGGAAAGTGTGAAAAGAGGTGATGACAGATCTAAGGAACTGTATTATATTCAGATATATATCTAAGCCAAGTTTCTGATGTCTTCTGTATTCTGTCTGGGCAAAAGTTCTCTTAGAATGCAAACAATTGATTTACAAATATCTGCACAATTAATTTCCTCATTTATTATTTACTTAGGGAATGAAAAAAGGTACAAACTGGTATTCATTCGAACTAGCCCTTTCATTCCAAAAAATGTAATATTTTATAAATACTCTTTTTCCTAGATGTTATTTTCCTGATTCTAATTTGTATCTTACAAGTATTTCCTTTCCCCTCTAGGAAAGTGAAATATATGAATAAAGACTGTAGTAGATAATCGCAGGTATCTATTGTCTCATAAATGAGTATATAAATGATTCATTTTTTAATTAAAATGCAGCCTATAATTTCATGGCATCTAGTAAACACCTGATAACCACAACAAAATGACAAAGCACTTTAGGACAAAAGTGAGTTATGCAGAGTGGGAAGATGTCTGGAAGTACAATCTGATTTCATCATTTAAACCCAGCTGAGCACAGAAAATAAAGTCTTGTTGGCAGGCAAACATTTACATACCCTAAATGAATTCCTATAAGAAATAGGGTTGGAGGGTATGATTTTCTCATAAGAATTCATGGTTAGAAACCATAAACCATAGCTAACCATCTATGATTCCTTCACATCCTACAACTGGCAGCATTTCAAAAGGCCTCCTTTAAGACTAATAGACACCGATTATTTCCTAATGGCACCCCAAGTTAAAACAGGCTGCCAACAATTGGTACGCTGGCGTGGCACTAAAGGCTCTGTGAATTTCGAGCAGAACAATGAAAAGACTGGATATTTTGAAAACTAGTTTCTTAATGACTGGAGGTGGATTAGTGAAATCAGTTCAAGTAATAAGGGCAGGACAGAAAAAAATGGCCTAGTCACTATGATTCCTTTGGTATTTATGGTAATAAACATGAATCACGATCAACTCACTGGTCATTAAATGCACAGGTTATAAGTACTTCCATAGGATTTCCACAGGAATTCACCCTTAATTAGCTGGATCATTATTTGAAAGTGTTACTGAGTATCTTAGCATTTGTACAGCCATCCCCCTCCAAATTGGTCACTCCCAGCTGAGGGCAGTTAATACCTTAACAAACTAGTCATTAGCCCCCGTAACTGATTTTGTGGGAATTACTACACTTATAAAATACATTCGATAGTTTATAAGAAACATTGCCTACCTTTTTCCTTTTTAAAGAAATTTACAGCTGTAGTTCAACCCAAAGAGCAGAAAGAAAGAAATAAATCAGCTCTTTAGGCTGTTCTCATGATCCATTTTTCTGCCAATTAAAGGGCAAACACATGCTGATGGGTTTTGAATTTTAAAATGTCTTTAATTTTTTCATCTCCAAACTGATTAGTAAAAACACCATGCAGCTACTAATCTTGTAAGACACTTGGGACTTTCCATTCACAGTTAAGCAGAAATATGATTTCTGAATACCAGAACTCAAAGCCAAATTTCCGCCTCTGGAGCAGACCAGAGACCTTTGTA